GCTAGTGTAGAACCTTCGAGCGGACTACTTAAATTAGACAATAACTAAAGTTGTACAAGTGGCTAGTTGTACACTCTCTTCATGATTGCCCCCTGTGATTGTAAAGCAATCATTAGCCAAATATACTATTAATAAAATCCTGGGTCGCAAGTACTCACCTTAATATTTAAAAAAAAAAACAAATCAAAACAATTATAATAGTTTATCATTTTAAGTTCGATAACAATAAACTTGAATTTTTGATTCAGAACCTTTCAAATAGTTCAACAAACTTAGTATAAAAAATAATCAAACTGATTAAATTATAGTAGCTTGTTTTTAGAAAATTAATTATCAATTGTCCTAAAATTTTCTATAATCATTTTTTTGCTATAAAACTAATTAATTGTTCATTTAGTTTTTTTATCAATGTCTACAAAGTTAACAAAAGGTTATTATCTTTTTAATTTCCTTTTCTACTTTTCTATATCTATAATTATCATACTAGTTTATAGAAAAATCCTAGCTTTTCTACTAGATCACTTGAAGTTTTTCTTTTTTCTAGTTTGACTTTTTGGGTGCCTAGGTTAAAGCAAGAAAGAATCATAGCTCAATATTTAATATTATACAGTTAGCCTTTTCAATTTTTTTCATGTGCACTTTCCTCTTGTTTTCTCTATTATAATGATAAATCTTTTATTGTTTTGTTATTACTTTTTTTTCAAAAAATATTAATAAAATTTATTTTTTTTTTTTTGAAGCAAACCACAAAAATGTTTTTAAAAAAATACAGATTTAAACCAATTTAGTCTTCTGTTGCCTCTTTTTCTATCTCTGACAATTCTGGTATCATCTGCCAAGGTTTGTTAACCTACCTTGGCTTTCTCTAGGATATGGTAGCAGTTATACAATGCTTCTTGGTTTGGCTAAAAAAGAAGGCAAAAGAATACACCAGTGGCTCTAACTGTTCTGATTGTATCTGCCTTAAGACCAAACTAAATAAATCCTATGCAGAGTTGAAGAAAAGACAATCTCAGAAGAAGATGCAACAGAAAATCAATAACTTAGGGAAGTAGGTTAGGGAGTTAGAATAAGAAAATCTTCAGTTAAAATTTTTAAATACTAATACAAAAAAAAAGAATAGAAATGATAATAATAATAACAATTTTACTATTTATTGCTGCTGGTGATCATCACCAGTATTATGTAATATAGTGATTGGCACAAGTATTGTATCATATTATATAAATTATGTAATACTGGTGATCATCACCAGTATTATATAAATTATGTAATAGTGACCTTATAGTATGTGAGTATTCTATTAACTTTGCAACTACACTATTCAACTTTTGTCTCTCATTACATTGCGAGTAGGCTGTGATTTTGTAATTACTTTTAAGAAAAGAGCAAATATTTCACTTACATTAAATGAATCTAAAATCTAGTAGTCTTTTAACTTCGCAACTACACTATTTCAACTTTTGTCTCTCATTATATTGCAGATAGGCTGTGATTTTGTAATTACTTTCAAGAAAAGAGCAAATATTTTACTTACATTAAACGAATCTTTTAGGTTGCAGCAACCAACCAACCAATCACTGTCTCTCGTTAGATCTTTCACCTCTTGACACTTTCATCGTAAGCTATAAATTTTTGTTAGTTATTAAGCATTATGAATTTCAAAAAAAAAAGAACCCAAGGCGCTATATTATAGCTTGCCTTAAGTTATTATTTTATTGTAGAAAGGTACTAAGTAGAATCTCTTTCTTTATATCTTCAACGTAGTTATAGATGGATAAAGGGAAACAAGTAATGCCTACCAGGTTTGGTGAAAACCTTCCTGGTTTTATAAATAACGAAGTATTTGAAACTATTCCTGGTGTTAATAGCTTAGAGTTGTTTGATCTTGTGAACTATAACTTGTCCAATCTTGCAAACTATGAATTGTCTGGTCTTTTGAATTATGACTTGTCCAATCTTGCAAACT